AGTGCGTACTCTTATACGACTTCACCCTATACGATGGATGAGCTATTTTTTCTCATGTTCTTGTGTAATGATATTGTCCAAAATGGTATCAGAAGATTATTTCAGAGGGTAAAAACAAACTATGAAGCCCTATATCCCGTATGTCGGTTTTTAAAAAAAGTGTGGGAAATGGGCTTCAGCATTGTGAGACGTTTGAAGTTTTTCTTTCATATGGTGGCTTTTGAACTTGACCTCGATCGGAAGAAACTGAAACACATTTTGGCCCTTTCTTATAGGTATCTTGTTTTGGCCGGCAAGAATTTGAAGTGAGGCGAAATATGAGTTCTGTTTTTCCGTACGAAGGCATAGGTAATAAAAATATGGGAATATGTATTTTTCCTTTCAGAAAGTCTTGCAGAAATAGGTACTGCTTATGAATTAGATATTGATATGGATGTCGGGTCAGGGTGGTATTGGTCTTGTTTTTCAGCAAATTGAAATGTCCCATTCGGATGGTTTGCTATGGGCATTGTAAATGATGATCATTTTTTCTTAGCTAGCTCTTTGACATGGGTGTAAGAGCAGACAAAATATGGGTGGAGGATGGGGTCATGTTATTGTCATTGTCAAATAGTCAGCCATAACTTTGCTGGGTCAACATGATTCTTACATTGGAAAGCCCGGACTAGATAAAATAAATGCTCTGCTGAATATGACCAGCGTAGTAGTGGGATTGCACCTGAAAATTCATTGCACATCTGGCGATCTGGCATAACATCCTCTCTAGAGCCGTCCGCAGGGGAAATCTGCTGCTAAATTGACCAGACTACCGACTAAATTTGGCAACAGGGCTTTCGCTAAAATAAAAAATCTGTAGCCGCCCTGCGCCGTAAATTTCAGGTGCCAACATGCGCTGAATTCGGCGCATGTGAAGTTACGCCTGACATGCACTGAAAGTTTTGGCGCAATCATGCCACTATGCAGGACATTTTCAGCATAACGTGAATTTTTCCAGTCTGGAGCCAAATAGTAATGTCAGCACTGAGAAATTAGGATGTTGTCAACATAACCTTCAACATATTTGTCAATTTTAGTTACAATTTATCACTAATGGGTACCTATTGTTATCATTTGGTAGGTACCTACATTGCATCCTAGCTTGTCATCATAGCAAACATGCAGATATCTAAAGAAATGTTTGTTGGTCCTTCTAAGCTGTTGAAATTTCTCCACAGTCAACACAATGCAGTATGCTGGGAGCACAAAACGAAGGCATCCGTGGAAGGAACAGCAATGCTGGGAGCAGGCTGTTCGCAGAAAGTGATCAGTAAGTTACCTGTGCATACTGCTGTTTTTTTATACAGGGAGGGGGTTAGAGTTTAAACATGTCTCAGCAAGATTATTGCATGAAAATTAAATGATATTTGAATGCTGATAATTATAGATACTAGAAAGAGTAATCATAAAGCAGGCATTGCACTTCCCTGCAAACACCTGAATGAGCTGAAGGCGGGCATTGTATGAAGACAGATGAAAATAACGAACATAATCTAACCAGGCCTGACCTTACCTACTTACCGACAACCTACCAGCCTACAGCCTAAATACCTACAAGCTACCAGCTTACCACCAGTCACAATGCCTTCAGCTGTTCAGGGAAGAGCAGCGTCTGCTTTACGACTAGGTACTGATAGGCGGGTAACGAAACTGATTGGTTCCAGCCAGGAGTAATTTTCCTTCTAAAGAAAACAAAGTGTTGATTATATAACAGACTAAAGAAAAATATAGTCTGCTCCATACCAAGCTTATGGTCTAAGTTGCTTTGCCAAGTTGCTTCTTGGTTCAATAATGTGTCTCTTAACCCTCGCCCTGGCAGGGGGGGGGGGTTGATGCACCCCCCAAGGTTTTTCGAAGATAGCGTAAAAACGGCGGCGCAAAGTTGGCACAGCCTACGGGGCAACCCTTTTACATATGACCTGAAAATTTCAAGTCCGGGTGACCTTGGTCAGGTCACCAGGTCAGAAAAACCGGTACAAGGTCATGGTCAAGTTTCAATTTTCTTTTTGCACCTGTCGGCTGTCCAACTCACTGTTTTGGACTGATTTCCTTCAAACTTTCAGGATGTGCTAAGTTCACCGAGTTGTATAACATATAGTTCGGGTTTTTTGAGGTCACTGACCTGAGGTCAGTTAGAGGTCATAACGTCGTAATGTTAAGCCTATGGGAAAATACTAAATTCGGAAAATACTGGAGATATCCGCTTCGTTCCATCACTTTTGTGCTTTGAAACCATAGTAGTTAACAGCAGGTCACTTGGTGCTTCTTTGTTTGGTGAACTTATCCATTGGTCAGGTCAAATGAGGTCAACTGAGGTCAAATGACGTTTTTGCCAATAACTTGGCACATAATGACGCTAGAGTTTAAAAATGGTATCATTGTGTTCCTGGTGATCAGCCGAATCGAATGATATGCGATATGATGCAATTTGGGTAACTTGAACTTAATTAGTTAATTAAAGTTTACTTAAAAATTAAGAAAAACTTTAAGTACACTTCAGCAAACAACAAGGTATATCATTCGACGCGCCTTGACGTGCTGATTTCACTGGTGCTTTTCTTTTTTTCTATCTTAATTGGATCAAAAGTTATAAGCGAAAAACTTTTGACCTGTTTTTAGCAAAAAATTTACATTTATATCCCCCAAAACACCTCCAAATATTGACCTAGAGCAACCAAATTTGCATAGGGGCGAGAACTCCAGGGGTCCCACCTACCTACCAAATTTGGTGTTTCTAGGTGCCATAGGAGCCAATCGCGAGGGGGGGTCGCATCAACCCCCCCCCCCCCTGCCAGGCCGTGTTATGAAAAATGCCCTGCCAGGGCGAGGGTTAATGTAGGAGCTATGCACACATAAAGCATGTGTTGTTTACAGCATGGTACTTCGGCTGCAAGCTTGAAATGGAACAGACTTTAGTCTTATCTGCGTATGGTAGCTCGAGCAGAGGTATTACATCTGCTTACGTGTCCCGTAGCAGCATTTTACACCTTGTCCTGCTCTCCCACAGAGCGCGCAAGCCACCAGCCAGCTGACGCAGAGCCCAGAGGGCGGTCGCCACCAACATCCGCACGGCGCAGCTGCAGAGATGATTTCTGCCATGGAGCAGCATCCGCGGCTCCATAACATCATCCTTCCATCATTCTCCATCATCATTCCCGGAGCTCACCCGGCGGCGCCCGCGCCCCGCCTGGCCGTCCAGCTTGCGCGCTCCGCCGCGCGCCGCGGGCCCGGCTCGCCGGAACGTCCGGCTTAGTTCGGCGTTTGAGGCGCGGCGGGGGGCACCGTCTCTGTGCCCTGCTCCGGGTCCCCGCCGCCTGCGGTCTCTTCTGCTGCCGCCACTGAGGGGAGCGGCTCTTCTTTGAAGACGGCATCGGTCGACGGTGATGCTGGCGGGCCGGTGGCGCGTGCCCCGTCGGCAGCGCGCCTCGGAAGGACGCTGGTGACGACGAATCTTCATCGCCGTCGGCACCGGTCGCGAGCGAGTCGCTGTTTAGTTGGCCTGCTACAGACTTTGCTGTGCCAAAAAGTGCGACTGTGGCCAGACTGGTATACGATTTGTCAGTGCTTACGCCCCTCTTGCCGTGCCGGCCGTGCTCTTTGCCGTCTATTGAGGATGCGTTAGAGTTATCGTTTTGGGGTTTTATACCGGTATCAAGATTGATTTAAAAGATGGATTTCATCACATTCCTCGCGCACGTTCCACACGTCCTTTTGGTGTTTTGTATGATGGTAAAACGTGCTTATACCTTTTCTCTGTTACCAATGGGCCCTATTAGGTACTGCATCTCCTGCATTATTAGGTAGAGATGCAGTACCATTATTAGGTACTGCATTATTAGGTACTGAAGGAGATGCAGTTAGGTACTGCATCTCCTTCGGAGATGCAGTACCTAACAGATGCTTTCAGTGAACTTGTAGAGTCGAGATTTAACGTCAGGTGTTTGGCGTATTTAGATGATTTTCTTTTTATGTCCAAGGACGCTGAATGGTATCGCTGCGTTTCTGACTAGTGTTGGGTTGTGTATTAATTTCAATAAATTAGTTCTCGTTCCGTCGCATGTTTTTACGTTTCTTGGTGTGTCGATTGACTTTGGGCGTGATTCTGCGCGTGTTCAGGATAATGCCTTGTCACTATTGCGGGATGGCCGTGGTCCAAGCACAGTCGCTGTGACAGACGGTTCGATGTGTCGACCAATCATGTTGCTTCGTTTTTGGCGCCTTGTGTGTTGTCCGGTCTGTCAAGACTCAGCTGGCTCAGTCTCGACTCTGGCTCTGGCTGGCTCAGTCTCAGTCTCATCAGAGAGCGAAAGGAGCTGCGCGCGCGGCTGCAGCAATTCATCGGCGGCGGCGCTGTGAACGCTGTGTCGGCGGCGCGCGAACAGGAGCTGATCGCGCTAAACGAGGACCGCCAGCAGCTTGTCCATCTGCAGCAGCTGGTGTTGCAGCTGATGGGCGGCCAGCAGCCGGCGGCGGTCGCTACCCCCCCCCCCCCGCCGGTCCTGTGTGCGGGGACCGCCGCGCCCGGCAGTGATGGAGGGTACTATGGCGGTGTTACATTCCTAACTGTTGTCACATATCAACTGAGAACCGTCCGGAGGCAGTTACCGCCGGCCGGCACCTACTCACCGTGGCCGTATTTTTTATATGGAGAGAGGAGAGAGAGGAGAGAGTTGTTCAGAGAATATCAGGTTGTTAGAGAATACAGTGTATATTTATTATTTGAATCGAGCGAGTCGCGTGTTCCACGAGCGGGACTTGGAGCAAAAAGCTGGCACTGAGATACAACGAACAGAACGTGGCGTCGAGCAGGAACGCCCCCGGCTATGTACACGGTGCTGCTGGGCGCGCGACCAACAAAACACGGGAATGCATCAACATCAAAGACACACGGTACATCAAAGCCCTCCGCGCCATCGCTGGGTCCGTCGGCACCGCTAGCGCTTCTACAAAACAAGCACGCACACAGAGACGCCATTTCCAAACGCACGCATACACAGAACAAAAACGCACACGCACGTCCATTCGTTTCACTCAGTCACCCATGAACGGCTTGGGTTTCCGGACGGTCACCAGCCGGCGGGGCCGCGCCGCGGCAATAGGCGTGAGTCTCCTCGTTGAGCTTGCTGAGCGCGCTGCCACCGGAGGCGGACGGGGCGCCGCCGGCCGCGCCGTCCTTCGCGTCGCTCACCTCCACCTCGACCCCACTGTCGGAGTCCTCGGCGGCGGCGCGCCGGCGCAGCTGCTCGCAGATCTCCTCTGTGACGAAGGTTGCGCACTTGGGGTCGCGCATCAGCGGCGTGAACTCGAGCTCTGGCCGGCCCTGGTGCAGGCGCCTGGCGCAGGTACTAGGTAGTGCTCCGTCAGCGGCCGCGGCTGCACCACGGCAGCGCGCGATGCTCGCACAGCTCGCACTCACGCTCCACGGGAGCCGGCGCCGACTCCGGTCGCCGCCGCTTCACCGGCGTCGAGCTGGCCTGAGACGAGCCCTTTGCCGCACTGCCCGAGCCCGTGTGAGGGATGATTGTGAATTGTGATCTCGTTGTTGATTTTGATGGGCTGTCCGGTGGCGGCCGCCGCCGCAGCTGCCTTCCTACGGCCAAACGACTCCATAATCTTCTTGGCGACGACAGAGTGAGAGCTGTAGACGTCATTCTCGAACTGTTTGTATACATATGCGAATGTGGCCGTACAGACGGTGCACTTGTAGGGAAAGGTGCACCGGGTTCAGCATCACAAGGTGGTCCTTAAAGACGTGGTGCAGGAGCTTCCACTGGTACACCTGACGCACACAGAGAAAACACGTCACCGGTAAATCCCAGTTTGAAGTGAAGGAAGATGTGCATGAAATCCTAGGACCAGACAACTCGCAGGAGGGAAGTCCACAAATGACGCAACATCACTATTCACTACAACCTCGTATCGCACAGCAATGTAAAATCATTAACGGTACCTAATGGTCTCCCTAATAACCAGTGTACGTGTATCTCCAACCCGAGCCGCCTCCCCCTATAAGATCAAGACTTGTACCATGTGTCCTAAGTAATAAGTTCACCTGTATCAAGTTCACCTAGCACCACTTTTCTGAAGGAAAAGTGGTTCATGTTTTAGTGCCATCTTTCATTATAGAAAGACAATGATGTTGAATGTGTTTTCTGATGAACCACAAAGTGAAAATCAGTGATTTATTGGTGCATTGTATTTAAGAATTCCTTTTGAATTATCATGAGCAGAGTTGAATACCTCCTTTTGCACTCTTTAGAAAATGAAGAGACTCACAAAACTAAAACATGATTAGAAAGAACACATCCTTAGAAATGTTTTGTGTACTAACCATATTTTTTTCACAAAACATTTATAACTTCCACCAAACCACACAATGAGTCAGGTGAGATTATCTTACATTAGGTAAGGTTAGGTAAGGTTAGATTAGGTTGTATTATTTCTGCTTGTAGTGTACCTGACTTTTCAAGGTAGGTACATGATAATTTTAATTGCAATAATCACTTTAAAGTATATATTGGCTAGCAACCTAGATAAAGGCTAGGCCACACATGGCAATTAAATAAATATTAACAATTGTTTCATGCTTTCACATCACATCGTAAGAAACATTCAGTTATTTACCTTTGGGGCTCGGGCTGGGCGGTGGGTGAAAAGTTGAGAATTCTTCTTGCCCCTCGACCACCTCCTCTCCTCACCCGTCCTCGTCCTCTCCCTCGCTCACCAGGCATCTTCACCTGGAAGGTAGGCATACAGAAATGGGCCAGTCTGCAAAACGTGGCAGGTCTTGACAATATGTTGTCGGGGCACACACCACAGGTTGTGGCAGGTTTGAGGAATTTTGGGGCAGAAGCAAGGAAATCTGGGGCAGAAGTTGAAAGCTTGTCACAGCATTGATTTGTTTCGCTTCTCATACTTATTAAATGATGCACTTCATCATTATATCATTTTCATCATATTCATGAGGGGCCCTTATGAAAGGAATTGGTTTGCCCAGGTCTCGGCATTCCGCTTTGGGCAATGTTTTGCCTGTCCCAAACATCTTGTCACGGATTGAGCTCCCTGCCACACTTTGAAGACTGGGAAATTGGTGCTGGAATGGAAACACTATCAGATTCATGACAATTTTCCAATACCACAGGTATTTGTTATTCAAATAGCCTTTGTCTCAACTTAGTCTATCACTATTCATATAAACCTGGAAATAGTCTAGCTTTTAATATCACATGCCAAAATACATGCATATATATACCTATCAGATGAATCAGAATTGGAATATTTTAAGATATAGATAACATAACTCATTAAAACAGGCAATTGAAAAAGCGTAAACAGGACATACATAACCAAAGCAAGGATCATTGTATATTTCAATTGTAACATGCGCGCCGTTTATGGCGACAAAACCCGCTTCCATATCTTATGACCTTGAAGTCTAGTGATGTGTCAACATTGTCGCTAGACATTAGCCGATTGATAATTTATGATAATCGATAATTTTTTTACGCGATTCACGTGATGATAGCTTGCCAGGTGAATTCTAAAATTTCGTTTTATCCAGGGAAAAAATCATGGGCCAATCTGAGAAAACTTTTTGAAGGTGGCAGTCTTCCTTTAAAACACAGCTTTTTTCATTGGCGGGAAAAACGAAAACGGACGTCTCGCTCATAACAGCGAAAAAGGTAAAAAGAGATAATCTGAAACCATTACTTTATTACGAATAGATGGTGCTCTATGAAATAAAGAAGAAAAGAGAAGCATAGACACGGTTCAACAGCTCACCCTCGACACCCTGTCCTGTAAATGTATTTTACGATTCTTCCGTTTCGAGCGTTCTCAATATCGTAACATCAACATCAGCGAACACCAGGGGCGTCGTTTTGTATAGGCCTGGTAGGGCCCGAGCCTTACCAATGTTTATTTGGGCCCTACCAATGTTCGCTGAGCCCTACCAATCTTTTGTCACTTATCAGTTGATAAAAAATCAAAATAAACAGATAAGCAAATATTAAATAAGCACACATGCAAGGACATAAATAAGGTTCTAGCCACAGTAGGTGCATGTATAGCTGACAATGAGGTTTCACGTGTCTAGGACTCCGGTCCTTAATGGATTTTAAGAGGCTCGAAAACGCAATTGGTTATAGAGGTCCATAACTGCCTCTGAGTCCCGCATACCACGCGACCGCCCCTAATAGACCCCGATCCGTCTCCACACCAGCCGCTGGAGGCCCTACACCGACTTCGGAAGGTGCCGCTCCAGAATAGGCCATAGGTATATTGATTTGAGTGGGTGATGCAGCCTGATTCCCCAGGGTTCAACGCCAGGTCATTACCGCATCAGACCCCGAAAACTGAAGCTCGTAACTACGAGGGGCGTTCAAAAAGTTTCGGGCCGAACAATGAAGGAGTTGGAATTTTGGCCTGCAAGGCGGTGTGTTAAATGATGTGTTATTGAGATGTCCACTTACGCAAATTAAGTAAGTGGCCATTAATTAAGTCTCTTCTGTGATTGATTCGGGCTTCTATTCGTAGCATAGTTCGCCATTTCGGATAGGATGGGCGACGCCCAGAAGAGAGCAGTGATTCGTTTCATAGTAGTTAGCGCAGAAAAAGCACCAAGCGTTAACCCTCGCCCTGGGCATTTTTCATAACACGGCCTGGCAGGGGGGAGGGGTCGATGCGACCCCCCTCCGCTCGTCAACTTTCCAAAACAGGGGCAGGCAATTGATGATGTGCGTCCATTCGATAAACATCGAGGAGAGGCTATAGGGAAGCTGACGTAAAGTGTGCACCTGATCCGCGACCACGCACCTGCGTACATGGGCGCGGGCGGGATGACGAACAGTGAAGCGATGAGCTTCGAGTTGTTGTCGCATCCACTTTTTTCTCTCCGAACCTTGCACACTCTGGTTAGTGGTTGCCACCTCTTCCCCAACATAAGAAAATTAGCAGCGGCAACCTCGCTAACAGCAGGGAGACGAAATCAGCCGTCTTGGACGTGCAGGATGGGTCCAAAACCCACTTGGTTATGGAGGCCTTGAGGGCTCTCGCGAAGCGCTGCGCGAAATGTGCTTGTCTTAACGGTGTTTATTTGAATAAATGAACTTTTTGGTCTAATGAGTCGATGCTGTATCTCTCTGCTCCTTCATGGTCGGGCCCGTAGCTTTCTGAACGCCCCTCGTACTGTCATCCTTTTCACGGGCGTAGGAACGTCATGAAAAGTGGGTGGGCCACCCTGTCAAGGGCCTCCTTTTCCAGGGGGCCTCCTATTTTCAGGGGCCTCCAACTTTTGCCTCGTCCTGCTGGCTGCTTTCAAGTATGACCTCCAAATCTAGCTTCTGAGATCGGGCAGATGTACCCAGGGGCGTAACCGCTTAAGCGAACAGTGCGGAAAGTCCGCACCATTTTTAAACTTATTCCCCCTCCGATTTTTTAAAAGAATCTATTCGCCACAAACGGCGCATGACCCCTGAAAACCCTTACACAAATGTCTTCCTCGTTTCCCAGGTGCCCCCATTAGCTTCATAGGCGCCCTCTTTGGCATATAAGCGTTCTATGTATAGTCATCAGAGTCATCCCTATATGTCCCACAGTCGCCCCGTTGCATTGTCGCATACAATGTGCGCTTATCATAGGCGTCTCTCTTTCATAGACACTTGAAGGCGCCTCTCTTTGCCATGCCGGCGCCCCTGTTTCTTATGAATGCACCCTCATGGCATTGATCAATTGCAGTCTGCAGACCTCTATTGCATGTGGACGCCCATATATGTAGGCCTCAGAGGCGCCCCTCTTTCGCATTGAGGCGCCCCTATGGGCTTCATAGGCGCCCCTCTATTGCACGTAGGTCCCCTACTGTCTCAGAACCGCTCCCCTTTGGCTTGCAGACGCCCATCTTTCGTACGGAGGAGCCGCTGTGGTTCTTAGAGACGGCATGGTGCTCCCAGACGCAGATGGGGCTCTCGGAGTCGACAGTGTGGGACCTTCAGTCGCTGATGGGTGCCCGCCAGATGTAGACCCTCGGAGACGCCGGTATGGGGCCCTCAGAGATGCTGGTATGTGGCTCTTAGAGACACCGGTGTGGAACCCTCAGATACTTCAATGTGAAGCCCTTACAATTGCTGGTGTGGAGCTATGAATGCGCTGGCTTAAATCCCTCAGAGGCCGGCACATGGACATTAGAGCTCAGTGAGAGCTTGTGTGGTGCCTTCAGTGGCCTTGTGGAGCCGTTAGACATCAACATGGTGATCTCAGGAGCCGGTGAGTCCTCAGAGTCACCGGTGTGGGGCCTTCAGAGCTCTGAGACACTGGTGTGGGGCCCTCAGAGGTGCCGGTGTGGGTCCTTCAGATATACAGCCCACCGCTAAAGTAATGTAGGGTTTTACCAATCCCAACGGTTGGCTTTGACTGGCGATTGTTTAAAGGGACCCTCCCACCTTCAAAAAAGTTATTGAATTGGCATAAAAGTGATGTAGCGTGAATCACAAAGAGCGAAAATGAACATCTACCCAATTTTACCGGAAAATATTCACCCGTTTTCGAGATATAAGACTTTTATTTTTGTTTACTTTTTGGGAAATCCGCTGTTTCTATGACGTCACATAAAGGTTTTCTTTACGTCGACATTTGGAAGCAATAGTTTGGTATCAAAGTGCGACAAATATTGCGCGAATGATGCGTTTATCTTATCAAGGTCAATATATGATGGCCAATAAAGGATTCCAGGACAATTCTTATGGCATTTCTTCGTATCGCAATTCTTCGTCTGCAAATCTTCGTCAGGGCATTTATTCGTACCTATCGCATTACTTTGTCTCGCACCAGGGTATCAGTATATGAAAATCGGCTCGCATTTCTTCTTCAACGCAAATATATGCAAGAGTAAGCATTGAGGGACTAATAAATGCACCGACGAAGATTTGTAGACGAAGAAATGCGGACGAAAAATTGTGCTACGAAGGAATGTCATGCGAGGATTCGTTCGGGTACCATGACATTTATGTGATTTCAAAGTCAAGGTTCACAGCTGATCTGCTAAATCAAGCCAAGAATCCAAACTATCAAAAAACTATAAATATTTGTTTGTCTGTCACAGAGGTCTCAAGCAATATAAGGTTGACATATGTTGAATCAAAAATCTACTGCCACAACTCACATCTCCTGCCTTAGTTTATCATTGTTGTTTTAACTTGCTTTCAAGAGAAACGGAAGCCAGTATCTGATATCACTTCAGATGATTGTTTCAAGATCTGAGTTCAAATGGAAATAAGAGCAAGATCAAGATGAAACAGGGATTATTGCTGTTAAAGTAGTTTGGCCATGATACAACAAGCACATAAATCATTAGCCAAATCAAATACTGGTTGGTTTGTCAAGATGTTTGTTGTCTGTCGTCTGTCGAGCTGCTATGAACACTGAACGCTCTCACTCTTACTTTGAAGAGAGTAGTTTAAGTTGAATGGTAGTGAGCTGTAATTAGACAAAGCAGCTATTCAGTGCTCACATCAAGCCAGGCTAGGAAATGGCATCAACTGTGGTGGGAGGAAGCAGGTTCGGCAGCCCTATATGTTGTAAACTTCTGTTGTGTCTTGTGTTTGATCAACTGATGTTTTCTGCTGTTTTGTGCAGTGATAGTAGCAGGTAACTGCATGCTTGTCAAATTATGTGAATAAACGAATTCATAACATTGCATTTTTCTCTCCATGCAAGGAACAAGTAAGATGTTGTAGAAAATGTAATAGAGGGCTGCATTGCTGATTTTGCACTTTATCAGAGCTTTATTTAGAATTGCTTTCCTGAAAGCTACACACAGGCCACAGCACTGAAATTCACAATGTCATAGCTTTTGGCAGAAAAAAGAAAAGACTTGCCTAGGTAAAATTGGCTGAAAGTATGGCAGAGCAGGTCTTGATGCGTATGCCCATCCCAATTCGTGTGCTTGCCGAAGCCAAACTGAGTGCAACACATTAACTCTGACCCACCATGGTGGCTGGCATATCCTGAACTTTCACCACTCTAAACAAGACAACTTTCAGCCCTCAGCATTGTATTAAAACACTGTACATGGCAGTTGACACTCAAAATTTGTTTCAGTGCCATCCACGGACAACATCAGTCGCCATTCACCAGGCCAGTAAAAACAGAATAGATAGTAGCTTCAAACCCATGTAGTCAGAGTTACTAGGTCTGCACCTCAAAACAAAATCCAGGTGACATTCACCACGCCAGTAAAAAAAAAAAAAACAGGTAGGTATAGTAGACTACAGAATGATGTTCCACTCTTCAGAAGCTATCAGTTGACCGGAGCGCTAAGTTGTGCCGCTTATCACGCAATTAAGCG